CCAGTCTGTTAACTTGCTCCTTTAAATTCAAATGGATACGGTGCTATGCAGATTCTGGCATGTACTACCTAGGTAAAGTTTTTGCTTTGTTTCCACAGTTGTAACACCTGAAATGTTTATACATATTTAAAACCTTAGTCAAGTAGCAAATTGTAATTTGTTTTATAAGAACCACTTCTTAACAGTAGTTTAATACTTGAAATTAAATGAGACTACTTTAGGCCACTGCAGTTATCCATTCATTAGGTGATTTCTGGTTGTACTTGGTTTTCTTTTAGAGAATCAACTTTAAAAAAAGAAATYGATGAAGAGAGAGCATCTTTACAGAAATCCATCAATGTCACTAGTGCCTTGATCACACAAAAAGATGAGGAACTGGAAAAACTCAGACATGAGGTAAATGAGGAATGGGATGATTCCTAATTTCGATGAAGTTGCAGCCAGGGGCTTTGTGTGCTGTGTCCTGCAGAGCTGGCTGATCATTTTTCTTTCATGTGGTGTAGTTAAACYTTAGCATCAGATGTTTAGATACCTGTGCTGTGCCGTGGTTCTGGTGGCTGTTCAGCCCTTGCCACRAGTGCCAGTCCTTTGTTTTGGTGCTGGAAGGTCCAAGTGTTCTCAAACAACTCTTCCAGATCACGGTGCTCCGCGGAGAAAACGCTTCTGCAAAAACCCTGCAGTCAGTGGTGAAGTCACTGGAGTCTGACAAACTGAAACTTGAGGAAAAGGTGAAGAACTTGGAGCAAAAACTCAAGGCAAACAACGAGCAGCCTTTAACTGTAATGAGCCCCTCAGGTAAAGTGAGAGCCACTCCAGTGCCCTCAGCTGGGAGCTTGAGACCAGACATGGTGAGGTTATTTCTGACTGAGCCATTGTACTTCTCACTTATTGTTTTTTTCTTTAAAGGTGATGCTGCTACTCTGCTTCAGGATGAAATTGCAAGAGAGAAGCAGGTACTGGATGTGCACATGGGCATGCTAAACCAGCAGTGGGGCTGTAGGAGGGGGAAATACTCCAAAGGCAATCTTCACTGGGCTTTGTCAGTCAGGATTTTAAAGGGCAGATTTATCTGGTAGCTCTGAGCTTTTGAAAGGTCAGTGACAGTAAATAGGGAGAATCAAGTGATTGAGTGATACTGGAGAAACATTGAGGTTATGGGAATGTGAGGAAGGAAGCAGGAAAGGAGGGTGGCAGATTGTGCTGTGCAGCCTGTCAGTGAGGCACAGCCCAGCAGAACACACTCACTGCTCCTTGGCCTCCTTTCCAAGGCTTTCTTGGGTGTGAATGAGGAAAAAGCTGTGGCCCACTGAATCTGGTGCTTGCCATGTGGGAGAAATGGGCTCCCTGAGCTCCTGGGTATCTCTGAGCTTCTGCAGTTCTTCCTGACTGCAGAACTGGACTCAGAACAAGGGGTGGCCGCAGTGGAGAAGGAAGTGCTCAGCTGGCACRTGCTTGGGACAAGGAAGATGTGATTCAGAGTCACAGTCACAGTGACCACGGGAAGTGCCAGCAAGATGGTTGSAATAGAATCATCTTCTGCTCATGATAAAGTCCTTGTCAGATCACGAATGTCAGTCACAGTGATCAGAAAATGTCCTTGCCAGTCGTGCAGCCATCAGAACTGTCATGGACACACACTAACCACCAATCTTTTTCTGGTTTTCTGCCTCCCTGAATTCACTTGCTGATGGCAACCCTTCCATCCACCAGGGCGAGGTTGGTTCCACTTCTTTCCTTCCCTGTTAAGCATTCCTTGGTTACATTCAGCAGTGCTGAGCTCTGGGGCTGGGGGAGGTGCCATCCCTGCCCCTCTGACTGTCCTTGTCCTTGTCACTCCTAGATCGACTTCCTGAATTCAGTGATAGTGGATCTGCAAAGGAGAAAYGAGGAATTGAACTTGAAGATACAAAGAATGTGTGAAGCAGCCCTCAATGGCAATGAAGAGGAGATAAATAACTATGACAGGTACATAGAGGAAACTTCAGCTCTTGTTTTGGGAGCTGGTGTTTGGCAGGTTGGCAGCTGCACGGTSCCCCAGCCTGATCTCAGCTGTCAGGAGGGACAAACTGAGCTTTCCCTGGAGTTCAGTGGTTGAATCCAGCCTTCTCCTTACACTGTGGCATTCCCTCACAGTGCTCTGCATGGTGCTCTGTAGTTACCAGTCACAAACACTGATGTATCAGGYTGTATCTGTTGTCAGAGTTGGTGCATCTGGCCCTTTCCAAGTGCAGGAGAGTCTTTGCTCCCCAGAGGCCGTAGCTGGGTTGGGATGGGAAGATCTAATCCAGARAAATAGCACGAAAACCTCTTTCATACATCATGACTTCAGCTCTTTCAGGGGAWAAGAGATACTTGTTTACATGTGTTTGTTTTAAATGTCTTTGTGCAAGTATTTGCACAAGCAGCAGCTCGTTCAGTAAATAGCAGAGTGTAGGGGATTGTGGGGGCACTGCAGGGTGGTGTTGAAGGGGGTTTATCCTATTTTTTGTTGAGCTCTGTGGCGTTTCCTGAGTCTCAGTAACCCCGAGCTGACTGCAAGGCCATGGGCCCTCTCCTGTGTGACAGACACTGACTTGTGCCACTCTTGCAGTGAGGAGGAGAGCCTGTCCAAGAAGAAGCCCCGTCTCTTCTGCGACATCTGCGGCTGCTTCGACCTGCACGACACCGAGGACTGCCCGACGCAGGCGCAGGCGCTGGAGGAGCCGCCGCACTCCGCGCACCACGGCAGCCGGCGCGAGGAGCGGCCCTACTGCGACACGTGCGAGGTGTTCGGCCACTGGACGGCCGACTGCAACGACGACGAGACCTTCTGAGAGACCTTCTGAGAGACCTTCTGAGAGACCTTCTGATGGGGGACACCCCCGTGGACTTTGCACCACCAGCAGCCGTGCGTGCTGAATGTCAGGACAAGGGACAGCGGTTCTCGAGCCCTCGCTCCCACTCCCCCTGCCCGCCCGCTCCAGAATCCCTACAAGCATAAATATTTTGCTCTTCCACTAATAAATACCCCCTTGTTCCTTTTTAACAAACTTCAGTGAAAGATGAATAAATGATTTAATAAGTGACTTTATGCTGTTTCTTCCCAGGTTCTGGGTTTGTCCCACCCTTAACAGGAAATGCCCCTGTGCTGTTGGATCTATTGATGGGAAAACATGTATAGGAATGAAGCACTAGAGTTATATTAAAGCTTATTTAAATATCTTTAAAATATGCTGTTAATTTTCATATTTGCACTAAACCATTTTAAGGCTGAATTTGTACATTTAGATTTTTAAGCTTTTTTTTGACACTGGACTGAGTTGAGAAATATTTCATCTTTATTTTCATTTACTCCTTTGATTGCGATGTCGCTCGGTGCTGTGAGCTCTGGGTTGTGGTTTGGTGTGAAACGTGGAAACACGACGCAGGTAAGGAGCTGCTGGGGGTTTTTGGAAACCTGTATGCTGTGCACACCTGTGCACACCTGAAACAGTTTGTGGGCCAGCCCTGTTTTGCGTTCTTTCAGCTTCTATATAGTGAGTGTGGTGTGTGTGTGTATATATGCATATATATAATAAAGTTATATTTTGGAAAAAAAAAAGTGTTTTCTTTCCTACCTTTCTATTCAGAGTGAGGGGTTCCACGTAGGGACAGCCATGCCCAGAGGYTGCRCTGTAAGTCACAGRATCCATWAGGTCAGAGGAGACCTCTGAGGTSACCTGGWCCAGCCTRTGACTGGACACCACCTTGTCAAGGTGACCAGGGCACTACTGAGTGCCATGTTCAGTCTGTGCTTAAATGGGGACAGTGACTGCACCATCTCCATGGGCAATCTTTGATCACCCTTTCAGGGAAGAGATGCTGCCTGATGTCCAACCTGACCCCATTCTGGTGCAGCTTTAGGCCGTGTCCTGTCGCTGTTCCCTGGAGCAGAGCCCGACCCCACCGGCTGCCCCCTCCTGTCAGGGAGTTGTGCAGAGCCACAAGGTCCCCCCTGAGCCTCCTTTGCTCCAGGCTGAGCCCCTTTCCAGCTCCCTCAGCCGCTCCTGGGGCTCCGGACCCTTCCCCAGCTCCGTTCCCTTCCCTGGACACGCTCCGACCCTCAATGTCCTGCCTGAATGGAGGGGCCCAGAACCGGGCACAGCACTCCAGGTGTGGCTCAGCAGTGCCCAGTGCAGGCAGGAAGCAGCTCCCAGGTCCCGCCGGTCGCACTGTCCCTGCTCCAGCCCGGTGCCAGTCAACATGCATGACCACACATGACACATGCATG